GGAGTGTTAACTTCTTTAAAACCAAGATGATTAAATTTATTCACTATTTTTTCAATATAATGTGATTGGCTTAAAGAAAAACCCCCACTATGTTTTCTAACTTTGATCCCTAAAATAGTATCCGCTTCTCCTAAATCTTTCATTTTAAACATAGAAGATAGATACTCTTTAGTCTCATTTATGCCAATCATATTAGTGCCGAATATTAACATGTCATCCACATACAAGCAGACAAGCACACCATATTTATCAGTGAATTTAGAATAAATACACTTATCAGGACTATTATGTTTGAAACCATAAGATAGAATAACATAATCGCTTGAACAGAACCATCAGAATGATATTTTCTTCTAAAAACCCATTTACATCCTATTGGCTTTGATCCTTGAGGTAAATCTACTAAAATCCAAGTACTATTTCCCATTATAGAATCCATTTCATCATTGACAGCTTCTTTCCAAAATGAAGCATCTCTAGATGACATTGCTTCTATAAAGGTTTTAGGATCATCATCTGGATTAAAACTTATAGGATGTTTATTTAAAACATTATTATTCCTATCACCTTCAACAAGAAAAATAATTTGTTCAGGAGAAATAAAATCTGAAGGTAAAGATTTCTCTTTTCTTACTCTAGTACTTCTTCTTGGCTCTGATATTTCTTTAGATATATTCGTTTCCTTAGCATGAAAATCAGAACTAGAAAAATTATTAGAGTTAAGCAGAATAGGAACATTTTCAACATTTTCAGAATCTACAGAAAATTTATTTTCAAAGAATTCAACATCTCTAGATTCAACAATAGTATTAGAAGATAAATCAAGTAGTCTATATGCTTTGCTATTTTCAGCATATCCGACAAAAACACTTTTAAAGGCTCTAGGTCCAAGTTTTGTTCTTTTAGGATCAGGAACTCTATAATAAGCCAAACACCCCCACACTTTAAAATATGACAGATTAGGCTTTCTACCTTTCCATAACTCATAAGGGCTTATATTTGACTTTTTAGAGGGAATCCTATTATGAATATAACATGCTGTGTACAAAGCTTCTCCCCATAAATTTAAAGGTAACTTAGCATTATTAAGCATACAATTTATCATTTCTTGTAAAGTTCTATTTTTTCTTTCGGCTAAACCATTCTGTTGGGGAGTATAAGGTGCTGTACATTGATGAATAATGCCATGTTCTTCACAAAAAGTATTAAAATTATCAGAAAAATATTCACCACCTCTATCAGAACGTAATACTTTAATTTTCCTTTCAAGTTGATTTTCAACTTCTGTTTTGTATTTTTTAAACATATCAAAAGCTTCATCTTTTGTTCTTAAAAGATAAACATACATATATCTACTGCAATCATCAACAAAAGTGATAAAGTATCTTTTTCCTCCTCTAGTTAACATACCATTCAATTCACATATATCAGAATGTATTAAATCTAAAACTTTAGAATCTTTGCGAGAAACACTTGGAAAAGATTTCTTTGTTAATTTAGACTTAGCACAAATTTCACATTTATCAAATTCACCATTAAAGTTAATGAAGTCTAACTTTCTCATATTTTTCAAATAGCGAAAATTTAAATGTGCTAAGCGATCATGCCATAAATATGAAGACTCAACAATATAAACAGAAGATATAACTTTATTATTAATACTTAGTTGATACATTCCATCACAAGAGTAGCCCTTTCCCACAAACATCCCGTTCTTAGACAGGATAACATTATTTGACTCAAAAGCAACCCGAAACCCTTTCTTACAAAGAAGATCAACAGAAACTAAGTTCTTTCTAACTTCGGGTACATACAGAACATTTATAAGAGTCAATTTCTTTCCAGAAGTAAAATCTATATCAACAGTCCCTTTTCCAGCAACCTTTGCACAAGCATTATTCCCCATTTGCACTTCTGTAATTTCCGAAATTTCTTCAAATCCTTTGAACAAGGATTTGTCCTTGCAAACGTGGATTGTTGCTCCAGAATCAAGCCACCATCCAGACTTAACAGAAGCCATATTGATTTCAGAAATCATAGCGACCAGATTCTCTTCTATCATATTTGCAGAAGCCTTTGATTTTACATTATTATTTTTTCTGTGACGACATTCTTTAGCAAAATGTCCAGGCTTGCCGCAAATAAAACAGGACCCCTTTTTCTTCTGAAAATTCTTCTTTTTAAAGTGTTGTCCACTTTTCTTTACTTGAAGGTTCACATTTTTTACCGAAGATTCATTCTTCTCCACGGTGTGGACCTTACAATCACTTTGGACAGAATTTTTCGAATCACGTATGCGTGACTCCTCTTCAATTCTAAGATTCTTCTGAAGTTGTTCCAAAGAGATATCCTCAGTTTTATGCATTAGTTTCTTCGAATAATCTTTCCAAGTTGATGGTAGTTTTGCAATAATTGCAGCAACTTGAAAAGACTCTGGAAGAACTATTTTGAGAACATGAATCTTATTAACCAGAACCTCCAATTCATGAACTTGCTCTAGGACAGACTTGTCATCAACCATTTTATATTCTAGATATTTTGCAATTAAATACTTGTTTGTACCTTCCTCCTCGGCTTTGTATTTAAATTCCAGTGCGTTCCAGATCTCCCTTGCCGACTTTATCCTCGTGAAAAGATCATATAATCGGTCCGAAAGTGTGTTCAGAATGTGACCGCGACACAACACTTCATCTTCCTCCCGTTTTGCCTTCTGCTTTTTGATTTCTTCTATTTCCTCCATTTCCTCCTCAGTAGGTTGTTTGCCGTCTGCACTTGGTTTTGGATCTTCTATGGGCTGTAAGTTGGGGTTGAGGATGTATGAGATCTTCAATGCTGTAAGAAGAAACATCATCTTGTCTTGCCAGCGAGAGAAATTATTCCCGTCGAATCGGTCCAATTTGACCATGTCTTGATTCATCACCTTGATTGATTCCGACTCCATTGTAGCTTAAATATTTCTTTAAGATTGTTAGTTTTAATATTGAAGGAGACAGAAATTCTGAGGCGTGAAACACTTTCCTTAAAGAAATATTTGCCCCCACTTGATATTCAAAGTTGCTTCGGGTTAATGCAAATTTTCTTCCCAGGATACAACAGAAAATGAAAATTCCAGTAAGCAAATCTGGAATTTTCCTTAATTCGTTGTGAAACAAGTTTGTAATATTGCAGAAATTTTTGACAGAAAAGATTCAGAGAAAGAATTATTTGATATCTTAAAATATAAACTATTTATAGATTTTGAAAAGGTGCTTCCAACAGTCACAACTTTTCAAAACACCCCTTGGATTAACCAGCCACTTTTCAACAGTCTTGTCTTTTCATAATTTTTAAAATTTAAAATAATATTAAAAATAAAATATATTCAATATATAATTATATATATAAAAAATAGAACATTTAAGCGGTAGCGGGTGCGTCTAATAATCGCGTCAAAATCGCGCATTATTCGCGCTACCCGCACGCGGGTTTAGAAGCCTATACTTTGATCCATTATTCAAAGCCCACTAAGTATTCAATGCTTTTAAACCTCTAAAACAATGCTCAAAATTCCAATGTGGGACTATCTTGTTTTTTTACAAACAAATACTAACACAAAGATGGGGTTATCTCTAATTTTTATCTCTCTGAAATGCAAAATAGGGTGACTGGTGCAACTGAAGCTAAGGGCGAGCCGTGGTTATCTGTAGGGGAGCATTCGGATCAGATACGATTCGGATATGACACTTATTATAACCATAACCACTTTCTGAAAACGGATACGGATACGGTTCTGATATTCATCGGTAAGAAAAAAACATTACCATATCCGCATTAAACGAAAACGGATACAGTTCGGATATTAGAGAGTCAGATATGGATATGATACAGATACTAATCGGATATTTGGGAAATAGATATGAATAGGATATGACAAAAAATACATATACTTTTTTAAAACCCGCAAAGTAAGATAAGTTACCTCATAGACTTTGTCGCTATTCTGTATGACAAACCTCAGAACACTCTGTTTTATTAGAAGACTCTTTTACTGCGGGTTCAATGACCGATTCAACGGGGGGTTCGACTGTGGGTTCTTCATTAGAAGCTTGAACTGATGGATTAGACGACATGATTCTAATACCTATTCATTGAAATTTATAAACTTAATCAAACAAAAAAATATAATGATGCAAATTACTGTGATATATGAAACTAAAAACAATTAGGGCTAATAGGTTAGAGATTTTTATCAAATAAATTAGGGGTTTTCAATTCAGTCAACAAATGCTAGAAATTAGGGCTTTTATCAAATTAAAAAAAATAGGGCTTAGGGTTTTGAATTCACCTTAGTGATATACGAAATTGAGGAGGAGAAGAGGAGGTCGGACGTCGTTAATGGTCGTCGTCGCGTCGATCAAGAGGATGAGGCGGCCACAAATTTCTTGAAGAGTTGAGCTACGAAGAGGCGGAGGCGGAGGCCGAGCCGGAGGCGCATGTGGAGCTCGGAGGTGGAGACCAAGCTCGGAGGTGGGGGCGACTTGGAGAAACAGCGGATAACATGAGTGTGGGTCTCTACCGGCTCTCTGGAATTGTTTCATTGAGTTGAATTTGGGTCGGGTTGCGGATAACATGAGTATATGTTATAGACCCGACCCAATACAAGTATTATACTTAGCCCATTTTAAATATCCGGATATCCGGACCATATCCGCAATTTCGACCCGATAACCGTATCCGGATAAAAAATCTAAACCGTAACCCTATCTGAAACCATATCCGACCGGTTTCAACTGTTCTCTACCATATCCGCTTTCTAAACAGATACGGTTGCGATCGGTCCGGATAAATCCGGACCATTTTGCACCCCTGGTTATCTGCGTCTTACCCTTGATCTTTTATTGGGTGTCGGGTTCGCAGGTGAGAGATATTTAACCTATCCGACGCGGTAGAACTTATAATGTCACGTGATCCTTTTCTTCTCGTTCGCGGTGTACTCGCCTCCACGACGATAAAAATTTCCCTATTCTTACATCATAGAGAAAAAATAAGAGAGAGAAAATAAATAAAACAGACAGAGCCTGGAGAGAGAGCAAAAGTGCAAAAGAGGGTGGTTTTCGAGCTCAACGAGAAGCAGAGAAAGCGGTTTTGTACAAGGAACGAGCGGTTTTCTGTAGTAAAAAGATGGTAAAGAGAAAGCCAGTACTAATCCTCCTCTGCATCACTGTTTTAGCTCCCATCGTTCTCTACACCGATCGCCTCTCTGCGTCCTTCTCTCCTCCCTCATGTATTCACTTTGCTTCGAAAATCCTTTTTTATTATATTTATTGGGATTTTCCCCTGTAATTTGGGTGATTTTCTGTCTAATTCTGGTTTCCCCTTGTCAAAATTTGATTTTGACAGCGAATGATGGTTTCATTGATGACGCTTCCAACTGGGTAACGTGCTTAATCTCTATTACTGGCTGTTTTCTATTTGATGTTCTTTACGGGAATTTTGCTGATTGCCTTTTTTTTTGCTTTGATATTTTGGTAATGTAGAGTTTTGTGAATGAGCCGGAGAAATTAAGTGCGCTACATCAGGTATATTTTCCTTTTCTTTTTCATTTGTTTTTTTTGTAATGTTTATTATGAGATTTAACTTCAAACTGAATGAAACGCTTTTATAGGATAGCTCCGATGCTTTGAAAGAGCCTGCTGGGGTTGTTTATTCCGATAATTTGAGCAATTCCGTTCAGATCTCAGCCAAATCGACTGATGAATTGGTCAAAGGTTGGATTGATTTCAATAATTGGGATTGTTTTTATTCGTGGAGCTTTATTTTTCATAATTTAGTCATTTGTGGAAGTTAAAAGATTGTTTCTTAAAGATCTGAGGTTCTAATTGATTATGAAAGTGTTTACAGAATTGCCATTGGGGAACTCGAGAGAGCACAAATCTCGCGTGCTTTCGGCGGCCATCGAAGGGACTCAGTCGGAGAAGCGTGTGATTGAGCAAGTCATTCAAAGGGAGAACAGTGATTCAAGCCAAGAGAATAAAGAAAATCAGGTAATTTGATGACTTCATTGATATATCTTGATTTAGTCAATGACGGTTGCAAATTTAGGACTCTTGAAACCTTAAGCATATTAAACATGACTTGTTACACTAATTGCATGCATCGGATTCCTGCCTACTTTATGAGGATGGTGGGGATTGTGCCACATAGGCGACAAGGAGGAAAATCTCCTCCTATGACAATGATACCCATTAATCTCTCTCTCTATCTATCTATATATATATATATAATTTCCCATCAGTTTGGTTCTTATGTCTCTTTCATGAGAACTTGATTCTTGACAATGTTTTGGGAAATCTAGCCGTAGTATGATACTATAAGAACTATGTTCATTTCTTGTGAAGTTTGCATACTGGTTGTCTTTTTTTTGCAACTCTTCGTTGAGGGTTAATGTGGCTATGTTGAATATTTAATCTACGCATGCAATAATTTATATACATGTAGCTCAAGATGGGGTAAAATTAGGAACCTTTTCTAACTTAAACTATATTTTTATTGACTGAGTGACTATATATATATCTATATATGTCATTTCCGTATGATCATATTATTGTTCACTCTCAAGTGTATAAAAAAGAGTTTTTAAGAAGAGTCCAAAACCCCCCCACCCCACCCCACCCCACCCGGCGCTTCCCCTTCTTTTTGGCAGGATTCTTGAGAAGAGATTGATCGTTCAAATTGTACAGCTTTTTGCTGCATGTATAGTTCCTCTATAATCTTAATTCTATTTTCTTGCTGCTTGGTAGATTGTTTCAATAATCTAACCTGAGTAACCTCTTTCTTGTCACAATTACAACTGAATTATTTGTCAGTAAATGTCATTGAATGTTTTTGAAAATCCGTTTTATAACCCTATCTTTGAATTTTACATGACAAGCAATCGAAGTGAACTAGTGTCGTAGTAGCTGATTTTTATCATTACCTAGGAGAATAAAGTTGAGATGCAATCTGAACAAACACCACCAAAAGTTGAAGCCAGAAAAGCACAGACATCTACTGATAATAAACAACAAAGCACCGCTGCTATGCCTGATGCAACAGTGCGGCAACTTAGGGATCAATTGATAAGGGCAAGGGTTTATCAAGGTCTGGGACCACTTCGAAGCAACCCACGCTTTACACGAGAACTTCGTGCCCGGATAAGAGATGTTCAACGAGTACTCAGTGATGCAACCAAGGATTCAGAACTACCAAAGAGGTATCCACTTTACCTTCACACTTTAATATGCTCAATCTAACTAAATTAGAGTGCAAATAAATATGACATTATAATATGACATTATATGCTTTCATCTAGTGCAAATGAGAAATTGAGGTTAATGGAGCAAACTCTGGCGAAGGGGAAACAAATTCAAGACGATTGCTCTACTGTTGTAAAAAAGCTTCGAGCAATTCTTCACTCATCTGAAGAACAACTACGAGTCCATAAGAAACAAACAATGTTTCTAACCCAACTTGCTGCAAAAACACTGCCTAAAAGTCTCCACTGCCTCCCGTTACGGCTTTCCACAGAGTACTATTCCCTAGATTCAAGCAGACAGCAATTCCCTAATCCAGAGAAACTTGAAGATCCTAGACTCTACCATTATGCACTCTTCTCAGATAACATATTAGCAGCATCAGTGGTTGTAAACTCTACCATGACACATGCCAAGGTAAGCTTAATACCTAGATTTCATTTTTGATTAATTTCAGAAACCCCTAAACTTTTTTTTTGTTTCTTTATTTTTGATTTTTTTTTTGGGGT